TGTGCTGTGGCGGCCGGAGGCGGTCCAGATTACCGGATGTGGTCCGCTGGGTGGGGGCTTGATGGGAAGGAGGGGGGCAGGGAGCTGTGACCCGGGCCACGCAGCAGCTGGCTGGCATACGCTTCTAATGCCTCCGCCTCAACCGCCTCCTCGTGTCTTCTTCGTAATCTGTCACCTCCCCCGTTTCCACCATCTCAGTCGCCGACGCCGTCTCCCGTTCCATTGACTCTGCCCTCTATATTAAGCGGTCCATCCACAGGCAAGTCAAACTCGACGAGCTCACAACCGCCGATTGTAGTATTTTCACAATTTATTGTGAAAACCGGTTTACTGGCTTATCTAAGGCTACGTTACGTAATTTGCTGTAATTTCTTTTGCCTTCTGAATAGTAGTCTCCGCCTCGTCTACCTCCTCCGCCATCACTGTTTCCGCCAGCTCTATTACCTTATTTGTCATGTCTTCGTCAATTTCTGCTTCCTCTCATTCCTTCGCCACCTTCTACTTTCCCATCTCCTTCACGGCCGTCTCCGCTTCATCCTATTTATTCCACACTAACCATTTTTGCCTACGCCCTGCCATCCTCTGCCTCCTCCATGGTCACCGCATTCTCTGCCGCCTTTATTCCCTCTCTTGGCTCCTTCCATACCGATGTAGGCACCTCCATTTTAGCTTTCCTTGCAACTCCTCTCCTTCATGTGGTCACATCCAAAATGTGATCCATCTTTGCCGTAGAAGCCTCGTCCTTCACGTCGGTGCCTCCTTCATCATTTGAGCAGTCTTTACTTCATTCTCCTCGTTCTCGGCCAGCTCCTCGTCACCGTCCCTGCCTCACATATCTCATCCACGTCTCTGTTCCTACACAGCATCCTCCTCTCTGATACCTATTTGTCCACCAAATCTTCTTCCTTTTCTATAGGCGCCACCTCCAATATTTCATCAGTCGTCATCTCAGCCGCTTTCTCCTCAGCGTCGTCTTCTTTGTCATCTGTGCTAACTTTGTTTTTATCTCCTTCTCCTTCGCCACCTCTTTCCTTACAATATCCTCTGCCCCTTTATAGTATTTTCCATTGCAGTCGCATTTTTTTCTGCATCTTCCTTCCCCGCCTCCTCCGCGTCAATACCTCAGTCATTCGAGTAGTTGCCGCCTTCTTCCCCATGTCACCTTTTTCATCACCTGAGCCACATTTGCTTCTTTTAACTCCTCCTCCCCATCTCATCGTATCCTCTACCACTGTTTTTCTCTACATCACAATCGCATGTTTCTCTTCTAGCTCCTTCCTTTTCTGCCTGCCTCTGTCACTGCATCCGTTATATGGACGGTCTTCATCTCTATCTTCTTCCCCCTCTTGCTCCACCTCCCCAAGAAGGCGTCTCGGCGGCAGCTGCGGGCTGGCGGCGCCCTCCCCCCTCTCTTGGAGATGTGTTTACCGTCTGTGGCTGGGAGCGGCGCTCGGGCCTGCTTGGGTTTCTTGTGATCCCGCGCGTTGGGGTCTCCAGGTAGACTGGCCTCTGGAGGGGGAAGGGCCATCAGCGGCAGGTGTGCCACGAAGCGGTTGCGAAGGCGGCGGCACCGGAGGTGGAGACTGATGATAATGGTTCTTGTAATGATGAATTGGATTGGATTGAAATTGCCTCTACGTCAATTGTCCCAGCACGTACCATCTCGCAAAGCAGTTTTTAGTGAAGCTGAAATGATTGCACATTTCGTCGATAACTTAATGGAGAGTGAGAATAATCAGAGATTGATTTTTCAGAATGAAAACTGCTCTGTGATAAGATGTTAAATTCCATGCTGAAATACGGCGGCAAGGGTTTTCCCTTTTGAATTCATCCCATTTAATTTTAATATCAAAGAGTATTTTGCGAGAGTGCGTTATAACATAATTACACTGGGCTAGAATTCCTGCATTTCAGGTAAATGATTTTGTAGTCCAAAAACTGTAACACGAATAATATATGTACGATTTGTATATTACCATAACGATGAACATTTTGATTTCCAGTATATTTATCAAAACCGAGAGACATCAGAAAACTCTTAGAAATGAGGTCAAAAACAAAGTCAGTGGGTTACATCCGTTTAAATTTGAACGTTAATTTGAAGCGAACTTATTATATTGAAGTCTCAGGAGTGGTAAAGTACATTATTTATTTTCGAACTAGTATAAAAACAGTATTTCAATTATGCAAAAGACGTCTATATCACAGACTATAGAAGTGTGTCGTGTAAACAAAGACATTAAAAATAAAATGAAAATAAAAAATGTTGTTTTAAAAAATTGTTTTTCTTTTCCTGCTGAGCATTCTAAAAGATGTGTTAGGATAGTCATTTTCTTGTCACCATTGATGTTATATTCAGTTATTAAACCTTCTCCAAAGAAGTTTTTTTTAAAGGAATTGTACTTCTGTGAGAAATTTTATACGTTTCCTAGCTTTGAGAAACATAAAAATATAACTAGAGTAACGTTTAAATATGGTAAATTAAAGGTGTTGTCTGGTATAAAAAAATTTTGATTTACCATATTTAATTATTAGAAGGTATCTACCTCACCAGCGTGCTAATGTTTATTGCGATTTTGGAGAAAGGCATTTCAGTTTGAATTCTGTGTTTATGATGAGTGCAAAATAAAAAACGATACTCGATAACAGCAAAAAACGCCGCTCCCAGGTCTTGGCGGCAGATCAATTGCTTTGAATCCAAAGAGCTCACTCGGGTGAGACATCTTCATCGGCGACACGGACGGCATCCCATGCGTATCGGATCTGTAGTAACGCAAACGATGTTCTGAGAAGACGTTTGCACGTTGTGATAGGTATTCTAGAAAGAGTTTCATTACTTGAGTAGGTACACGAACATTAAATAATATTAGATTTTGATGGTAGCGAAAATATTATTTTCATAAAATATTACTGGTCATTATTTAAAATCTCTTTCGAAACGTTTTTTACCGACTGTTATTCGCACGTGAAAATAATCCACTACAGTATGTTTGCGTGCTCCATAAATAGTACGTATGTAATTATAAGTTCAAATTTTCGTAAGTGAAAGTAATTTTTCCAATAGGAACTCTTGAATATACATGTAATGTTCAAATAAAATAGTACATAGTTGTTATTATTATGGAATTTATTTTATTTATTCAAGCTGAGATGTAATAGAAAATGTACGAAGAAAAGGAATTTCTAAGCTCAAATGTCGTATTTTGTAATACCGTAATTTAAATAATAATATAAAACAAATAATCCAATAAAATTATTTAAATAAAATAATTATATATCGTAATTTTCTCAAAGCTCGTACTTCTAAGCTCATTTCTAGGCTCATGTTGTTCACGCCAACTCTTTAAAATCCGTCTTTGAAACAAAGAAAACAAACATGGGCTGCTATGTCACTGCAACTGAGAGTTTCTGAGAGAGTTCCTAAGGTTCAAGTTCCGACGGTGGCGGATTTTTAACACTAGTTAGGTCAAACAGTCACTACCTGTAGAAGAGTATTGAATCGGTCCAGCTTCTCTGATCGATAGTTTTCCGTGATCTCTCCAATCAATACCAGGCGAATGCTGGAGCAGAATCTTAACACACGGTCCAGACAGCGCGGAATTTCTCTTTTGTCACCCTTGTTCTCTCTTAACTTACACTCCCAATAACACTTATCATGTACTATAGTGCGATTTTTATCAAGCTGCCTCTCAAAGCCCGTCTTCCCATCGGTATAATGACCCAGCATTTTGCGTCTTTCTCGGACCGTACCGCTAGATGTCGCATGATTGCAACCGTATCAAGCACTGCTTGATCACTGCTGCGAGACCGATAAAGACGCGAATCGCAGTGACATAATTTCACTGTGAAGACGGGACTTGAGAGGCAGCTTTATAAAAATCGCACTATACACTACCCCACATGTTGGGAGACTATTCGGGACTGTATAGCTTGCCCCAGCTGGAGAAACACTCTGAACGGGAAATCCTTGCAAGAAGACACAGAAGTTGGAACAGGATGTCACATTTCAGTCGGGGAAGAACACCGCCACCTCCCGGGATATATCACGCAGTAAGACCAATGACCATAGCAGTCGACTCGCCCGAAATCGCAAAATAATCAGTCAAAGGGAAGCGTCCAGCTGTGACGGAGATCAATTTGCACCGATAATTTCAGCCGAAGGAAGAAATTTAATTGAATTTAATTAATGCCTTATTTTACGTGACGAGACTCAGGCCACGAGGCCTGTTCTTCCGTCTGACCACGTAAATTTCGCTACGCTTCTTTCACCAACTAATAGAGAAAGGAGGTATTTCTTGGGTGAGAAACAAGCGATTTCAATTTAGCTCAGAGGCGTCATTTACGCTTGAGGATCTTTTACATGCAAGTAAATCAACTAACATGGGACAGCCGACTTTACTTCCCCTCCGAAGGAAACGAAGGATTTTTTTGCCCTTAAAAATTTACGGCTTCGATCGGGCTTGTACTTGGGTACAGCAGTCCGATACGCTAACAGTTACACCATCGCCGCGCGCAAAGCCATCGTACTTGAGACTGCGCTGCGGGAGGGAGGCCCAAGGTTCGGCGGACGTGGGGGGCGGCGACCGCGCTGGCCACCGAGATGGATGGAGAGGCTGGACCGGCGCGCGCCGACGATAATGAAGCTGGAGGACGGGTGGGGGAGGGGGAAGAGAAGAAGTCGGCGCGCGCGTGCCAAGGTGGAATGCCCCGCCCCTTTTCCATCCCCGGCGGCTCACTAAAATCCGCCTCCATCCCGGTCTTCGTTCGTCTCCTACCCGCCTCCATTGCCTCCTCCCCTGTTGGCGCCGCCGTCACTACACACTTCACTCCCACCGCCTTCTCTGGGTCCTACGCCTCCAACTCTTCCGTTGCTATCAGCTTCTCTCCCACTCCCGCCACCACCACCACCACCTCCTCCGTCTCCATCGCCTCCTCTACATCCTCCGCCTCCTCCAAATCAATCTCCGCCGTCGCAGCCACGAAATCCACTTCCCCACTACCTCTTCCACCGCGCTCGCTGCCTCCACCGCTTCCTCTGCCTCCTCCGCCTTCCAGTGTCTTCCACCGCCTCCACGGCTTCCTCTACTTCCACTGTCATCATCGCTTCCATCGTCTCTACAGCCGCCAACAGGTACCACGCCGCCACCGCCACCGCCACCGCCTCTTTGGCCACGCGACCATTCGCCGGCCGCTGAACTCCGAAAGGAGATACCTGGACCGGATTAACGATATGAACGACCTTAAGCTCCCGGAATTCTTAATGCTCACGTAATTTATTGGACAAAAAAATGTTTTCTCACCTTACGGAATAGAACCAACTTCCTTCTATTCAGCTTAGCAAGTTTCACACGTATTCAAAATGAATGCAGAAACTTCTTAACAATAAGCCTTGAACTTCTTATCAAATCCTGCATAGGTGGCCGATCTGATTCTATATTCTCAAATCGCCTGTCCTCCACCATCTAGAACTAATTGTCTAGTTGTGAGCTCTAGCAATAATATGATAATAATGATAATAATAATAATAATAATAATAATAATAATAATAATAATAATAATATAATGAGAAGAAGAATATAATATGAGGAAGAACCCCATAAATGTACGCATTTTTCACTCCAGCGGTAAAAAAGGAAGTGCGTGTGCTTTGTCGCCACCAATTGTTTATAGAAGGTTTCTATCTTTACATTTACGCTCATAACATAAATTAAGGATAATTATGTAAATGAAATATACAATGTAATGCATTCTTAATAGTCCTTCTGTCCTTCCAAGGTTGCACTCCAGGAAATGTCCTTGTTTCTTTGAACACACCCAAAACCGGATACGACACCATTACCAATACTTACAAAACATGGTTACTGACCACAGGAACACGCATTTGTTTGATTTATTCTATTGTACATTTATTTTCGCTTTCTACTACAAGTGAGAAACTTCTGAGAGTGGATTCTTAAGCAGACATATCATCACAAAAAATATAATACTACAAATATAATATATAGAGTGATATAGATGAATTCATGAATGAAATATCAGTAAATTCTTGTAGGTTATGTATCAGGACTTGGAAGTTTTATTTAACTTTCGTTACTCTACCTATGGGCCATTTTATATGGGCTATACTTGTTCATTCCAAATGTTCATGCTTTTCCAACTCAACAAATAATTAACGTAATTACATGAACTTTTTATTTGTACCAATTGGGATTATAAGTCTAGGACGACACTTATTATTAGGTTAGCATTTCATAATTTTGGTGAGTTTTAAACCTCATGGGTACATGTGTAATCTTGTGACAATTTGATCGTGAAGAATACCCTATTACAAAATAGAGCACTGATGAAATGCAGTTAAATGAGTTAGATGAAATGGATTCTGATTATTATCACGCTAACAACTGTGTATCAACATGTCAAGGAAGATCGCGGTGAGGTGACAGATGTGTAAGTGGAATTGATGACAGAAATAACAAGTAAGTGTTACTTTTGAAATATAGTAAAACCTTAACGGACATCAGTAATGGCACTATATGCTGCGGATTAATTCGATTTAAAAACAAACAAAAGCAAACATACGTATTTTATGTAACGGTCTTTTCAAATGCGACTTTAATCGTAAAACTACCCATAAATTGTGCTTCAACATTATTGTAAGTGAGAAGAATGGCAATTCTGTCCAAGCCGAAGTAGCGGAAATGGAATGGATGACTTCCGAGATAGCAAGCGATTGGGTAAGTAATGAATTTCCTTGTAAATTTTGGACGAAATCAATGTCAACCCAAATGAACGTTGTGCGAAAATATGAACTCACCAAATCTGACCGTGCTTGTCTCATGTAACGTTCGTGCAACGACGTGTAACGAGCCACTGATCGCCCAAGCAGCTGATGAACATGGCAAATGTTCGCTTCGTTTGATGTATCCAAAACAACGACACGCGGTAGGTAGGTCGAACAGCAAACGTTCGAAGCTCAACACATAGCAAGCACCCCATCCACATTTCTCGCGTTTCGCAGAGTAGTCACTTACGGTCGCTCGCTACTTCGCCGAATACCGAATGTGAGGAGCCGCCTTAACAACTGCGCCGGAACGTGGCAACGAGTGTGACGAATGGCGTTGCGGTGGCGAAGGCGGGCGCGGCGGGCAGTGTGGAAGCGGCGTCCGGTGGAGGAATGCGTGGCCAGCGAGCAGCTGCACGCCTGGCCGGTCCAGACCCAGAGCGCTTGCACCTGCCGCCGCCGCCGCCGCCGCCACCCAGCTCCAAGGCTGGGCCGGCGCCGCCGCCCGATTGCTGTTGCAGGCGTCCTTCCTGCTCCGCCGGCTTCTTCTGCCACTCCCAGTGCCACGCTCCATCACTTCGGTAGGCAAAATCATTGCCGCTCGGTGTAGCTGAGGACGCTACGGCTGAAGGGCCGTGGTTGCCGCATCTCGAAGCGACACGGTTTCTAATCCCAAGTCGGGTATGTATGATTATGTATGGATTCGTAGATTTATCCATATGTGTGTCACTGAAGTGTTGGCAATTGTGAATTAACTAGCCTTGTTAAACCGCAGCAATTTATAGAAAAAAAACATGAATGTTGACACAATCTATTGCTTTTTTAAGGTTCCAAACAGATTCAAAGCGCGTTCCGCTTTCGCTGTGTAAAATTCTTAGGTTTCGGACTCGTTTTCAAAGATGCGACGGTTTAGATTCCAGCTTTGGTGTTGAAATGAGTAGTTCCTTTTTTTGTCTTTTTGCTAAAATATTAAAAAAGTGCATTTGCATATTTCTACTCAAATTAATACCAAAGCACTATACAAAGATTTGCTCTTTTTCTTCACGAATACCTTTGAACAGTTAAAAGAATTATCACTTTTCTTTCTGAGATGTCAGAGGAATCAAAAGAAAATATATTGTTTTAGAATGACTTGAAATTTTTTCCCAAATCTAGACATCTCTTGTTTTCCGTAGTATAAAAGTGACCTCACATTTACAAGTTGCACGAAATTATGAAAATCCCTAAAATCCAAAATCGGAACTATTTTATTTGGATAGTGTTTTACCAGTATATAAATAAAAAATACTTCTTTTGGTTTCCCAAAACAAGTATTTAACTATTTCGGTTCCGGTTATGGGACCAACGAACAATCATTTTTGATGATCCTCATTGTGACCTCCCTGTCAAACTTACTACTATCAAGCAACGAGAAAAAATTCAAGTTCAAGAAACTATTGTTCGAAAGCAACTATTGGTCGAAATAAGGAAATAAATGTAAATGATCTTATATTGATAAAACCAATTAATGGAGTTCTGAATTCGCGAGTCGCTGGAACATAGACGAGAAACCTCAGGCTCGATAACCGCCCTGAGTGATTAATTTTAGAGCAATTTGAACGAGATACTTTTCATTTCAACCGTTTCTGCAGACATTTTACGAAATTCCATGATTGAGAAGATACACAGAAGAAATAATATTCCACAGTGTGTGTATTAAATAATAATAATAATAATAATAATAATAATAATAATAATAATAATATATTAAGTTTTAAGAACTACCAGATTATGGTTGAACATTTTAAGATGAAGATGACATCTGATCATAATTAAAAAATACACTTAAGCAAGAGATGACGTTCGTTGGAATGTGGGTAATACATTAACGATTCTAACAGTCACGCTCATACAGGAACAACACAAATTTTGATACAAATTACTTTCGATCTCACTTTAAATAGACGGAATACAGACTAGCTACAATTACCCTGGTTCAATGATTTATCTTTTTTATTATTCACATATTTGTTCTGAATTCGGATTCCTCACGTTCAGGGAATCAGGTTCAGGGTATCAACTACTGTCACTGCAGGGCCTCTGACTGGGAAGTCCAAGAGTTCGAGTTCCGACAGCGGTAGGATTTTCGGCAATTGGTAGAAAATTAGGTCGACTTCAGTGGCTGTTTGGAGAATTCTTGGGGCTGCTTTGATAGGTATTTTTTTCCGTGGTTTCTCTTCTCAATATCAGACGAAGGCCGGAGCAGTACTCTAACAAACGGACCACGGAACGCGCGCGATCTCCTTCCTCTTTCTTGTCTTATCCTTACCCTTTCATTGCACTCTCACATGCACTACACTAACACAGGCGACAAATCGCGAGCTTAGAGTTGGTCCCGGCTGGGGCAATGCCCCACAGGTGGGAGATACTTCGTTGTGGAAAATCCCGACAAGCCGACGGAGGTCGTCGCCGGATCTCAACACCCGGCGGAGAAAGATCACCCCCCACGTTCCGCGATCAAACAAAATGTGCAGTACACTTTCGTGACTAATGATATTAGAAATTGATCGGAATCACTAAATCAACCAACCAAACAAGTGCCACGCCTTAAAGAGACGTCGAACTACGCTCCCGGTCCAATCACAACTACCCTGGTTTAATGATTTCTCATTTTTTGTTATTCACGTGATCCGTATTTGTGCTTGATTTGGTTTCCTGTGAAGAGGTTTTCGCCCGAGACGTTGAAGGGCGAGGCCCACTGTGCTGGCGCGTGTTCCAACTCGTCGCGGCCGCCGCCGCCACCGCCAGGAATGCGTAGAGACCTCTGGGGGGCCCCGGGGATGAATCGGAGGCGATGGACTCAGCCGCTGACTCGCCGTGTGCGAAACGGCGCGGTGCCGCTCTCATTATGCTAATGTCGCGATTTTTTACTTTTCCTCGAGACCCGCATACTATTACTAAAGAGTTCGATGAAATAAATCATCATCACTGGCTGAGAGACTCGTAGTTTATTATTTACTTGGCTGTCCGGGTAACGCCGCGACCATGGTGACGGTGCCGACGTTTAGTTCGCCATTCTGCGACCTTCCTCAGGGCGTAATGCGCATTACGCACTGCGGAAGGTCGCAGAACGGCGATCGAAACGTCGGCACCTTCGCCATGTACGCGGCGTCACCCGGACTGACTCCGGCCGCAGAAGTCTACGCTCTCGTAGTTTATTGATCGATTGATTGATTGATTTCTAGTGTCCGTGTGCGTCAACCGGTATGATTATTAGTCCCCTCAATGTGAAGAACGTTCTTGCACGGTAGGTGGCAGTGTGATTCGGTGCCAACCTTCAAATCAGATTACGGTGTTTTCCCTATCTATGTATTTCTTAATAGCGGAGCATTACCGCAGCCGGAACAAGTTTCAAGCTTCTGTCACCCGACATATGTGGCAGCGTCGTGAATCTAAGTATGTGCGTAAGTAGGGAGTGAGATTACGAACAAACAAGAAGGAAAGACGGTTTTATGAAATCATTTCATCCTCCTTAACCGAGTACCCTCCTGAAGGCTGAGTGCTCTCACAAGGTGAAAACCCACCGGGTCATATAATTGCGGGATCTACGGATTTTTATCTTCAGGTAACTTCTTCAAAGGTGTACGAATTCTTCGTACAAGGTCTCGATCATTCTTGAATAAAAACTGAAGCGAAAACTTAACTATAATAAAACACATGTGCGTATTGTCATTTAATGAGCCTGACCTATTGTGATGAATGAAACAGTGTCAATTTCTACCCGAAACAACCTGATTAGGATTTCCTATAATATGTTTTATGATATTTGACCATTGCGTAGTTATATGAAATGTTTATTGTGGGAATATTTTTTATCTACATTTATTCCACATTTATACCAGTTTTGATTTTTATTAATATATTTTAGGACACGTAGGAGTTGCTTATTTACCTTAAAGCTTTCTTGTTGTATTAATTAATATTTATCATTTTTGCGACAATTATTTTTGGTTGTTTCAGTTTCTCATTTTTTCATTCACGTTTTCTGGATTACATTTATATCTATGTATTTTCTTCATCTTTAACCATCTTCCTACATCCTTATCCTTAGTCTTAAATCTGTTTTCTTTGTTTTTCTATCCAATCTTCAATAACTCTTTGCTTCATATTGATATACTTCCTTGTACTCCAATAATGAAAACTTCATATTGAGTTGGTTTCTTCCTTTGGAAGTACTTTACTCCTTATTAGTAATTACTTCTCTATTCTTCCAATATCACTTTGGAGCATTATTGATTTAAAGAAATTGGAAAAAGTATTTTATTAAAATTTGACAAATCTCTGGATTAAATTTTTAAAATTATTCCAAGCGACATATTAAATTCAAATTCATTATTTAAATTTTTACTATTAAATTCACATCAAAGCTATTTTAAGTAAGAAACGTCGAAGAAACGTGTGTTTTTATGTAGTCTGCTATAAAACATTAGCTGCAATATTCATTGCCCGTGGTACCTTGGAACTTCTCACTGCCTCGACCACTTTCCCTGTCTTCCAAACTAGTTAGACGCGTCTGTTATCTCGGCAGTATATAGAGCCAGAATTGATTCTGTATTCGAGTCGTTAACACCATGGCATGTCTCTAGCGTGGTTAGTCGTTGCGAGGAAAACAAGTGTCAGAAAGACAGCTCTTTATTTTTAAACCAATAAATACTAATTTAATTAAAACTTGAAGCAAATAAAGCAATAAAAACGCAAAGGACTAAAATACTACATAAAGTAATCATATAACCTGCGTGTGTGTGTGTGTGTGTGTGTGTGTGTGTGCATCCTTGTATCGGTCTAACAGACCTCTTCTGGTACACCAGTCGGGGGGAAAAGTATTCGGAGCAAGCGCCATTCATTGCGTCTCGGCCTACTGGGTAGAGAACTGTCCTACCCAGACCATTCAGAGATAATTCTCGCAAAACTTGTTTTGGGGAGTGTCAAGCAAATAAAACGTGTTTTGACGGGTTTTAAGTCTTCAACACAAATAGCGTATTCCATTGCCTCTTAAAAGGCAAATAAATTGATCTTAACGTCTTTTGAAAATATGTCGTCTACTCGGCTGAATTGCAAAGAACTGAATGAAAGAAATTTTGATGGGAAGTGTTATAGCTCTTTTGCTTGTAATGACCTTACTAATAACATTTTCGACGTGTATGTGTGCAGTAGAGTGACCCTGAGAAGAATCTAGTTCATTAGTATCCATCTGCATAAGATTCAATGAGTTGAGTGATTTGACAACAAGATTTTAGATTTTATTGATCTTATTTATTACCGCTATGTAAAGATCTTTGTAAAAGGGATAACAATTTATAATTTAACCAGTTATATATTTCCTTTTATTCTCTTTCATTTCTATTTAAGTTTAGAATCATAATATCCAGCTTAGTTTAAATAAATATCCTAAGCTCTCCAAGATAACCTAGGGATGTTTTGAATTGTTTGCGGGTTATTCCTGGAGTCTGATATTTATTCTTCTTAATACAAGAAGCCTTTCAAGTTTACGTCATTTATTAGACTGTAGTACAAGAAACCAAATTGTAATTTTTCTGAAACAAAAAAACGTGTTTCAATAATTTATTAAAAAAATGCGTTGTAACAAATATGTTCGAACAAGATATACAATCGAAGGAACGTTGGCACACATTACATCTTACTGGCAGAATCTGCCATCCGTAGTGCAATCATTTTCCGA